CATTTGACTGCTACAGGACGGCCGCTGCTACACATCACGCCAATACCGTTTCTCAATTATATGCCAAGGGCGCAAGGGCGAGTTAAAATTTTAAATTTGTTATTTCAAACGCACACACATGCACGAGAATTCATTCTTATTCATGCAATGCCATTCGTCTACACACATACTCACCCACACACACACACATCTGCTCATATGTTATTCCGCATTTGTGCATATCAGGATGCGGAGCAAATCTGGTGGCGGGGTGCGACTATGCACTTGGACAAACCAGACCTGCTGGTGGCCAGGGCTAACATGTCCACACACATCCTGGCCAATACGTTAGACGACGTCTTTTCCGTCCAAGGAGCACGGTATGTGTACTCCACTCTCACGTGGCAAATGGGCTGTATGGTGGGGTACTGTGTTGCTTTCTCTCTCTCTCTCTCTCTGTGTGTGTGTGTGCGCGCGTGTGTGTGTGTGTTGTATCTGATGTGGTGAGGCTCGGGATGTCGGGCCTAAGTGGCGGCGTATATCACTGGCACCCCCAAACCTATGCATGCACCAAGCCCACCAATCTGAGTTCGATGTACTTTCTCAAAGGAAAATGCGCACTACACGTGTATCTCTATCATCTCAAGTCCGTCAAACACTGCATTCCAAGCTTTCCCATTTCTATTTCATAGGCAAAATGAGGAGGGTTAGGGATAGAGAGACACCCATACCATCCCTCGCCTGCTACACAGATAAAACAGGCCACTTTGAGTGCATTTATAGTATTCTATGCGTGTCATTATTGATATTTCTTGTCTAATGTCGGCCCTCTGGCGTGTTATATACATTCACTTCTCAATATATATCTTCTCGCATCCACCGGAATGCGATCCAGGAGGCTGTTCTATGCATACACAAGCATACTACCCTCCACCGTTCACACTAAAGTTGGACACTCAACGCATTAAATGTATATTTTGTCTGATATTCAGCTGTTGTCTAGCGGGATATCCACACTCACTCCTTCATATTTATTACTTCGCAAAAGAGATGCCGTGGAGGAGGCAATCCCAGCGTATCTAGCACTCGGGGGCCGCTTGTCGTATGATGAGGATATTCATTGGCATGGTTACGGAGCCGGCGGCAAGAGTGCCCTCTACCGATACTTTGGACAAGAACTTCTCGGCCAGCCTGCGGAGGTGTGGCTTACCTTTATATATAT